TTTTTGTTGACCTTTGTCCATGGAAGGTCCCTGCAAAATTTCATTGCAATTGGTTCAGGGGTTTTGGAGAAGAAGATTTTTGAAATTTTAGTCAATTTGACCCCTTTTGGCCCCGCCCCTCAGGCCCCTGGGGGCGTAGGACTAAACTGGCAACCGTTTTTGTTGACCTTTGTCCATGGAAGGTCCCTGCAAAATTTCATTGAAATTGGTTCAGGAGTTTTGGAGAAGAAGTCGAAAATGTAAATTGTTTACGGATGCACGACGGACGACAGACGAACGACGGACGACGGACGACGACGGACAAAAGGCGATCGCAATAGGTCACTTGAGACTTTGTCTCAGGTGACCTAATAAAATCCTTGGTCTGTTTAGACAAACACACATTTGATTAATACTGGCCTCAGCTAGTGGACAATTTGTTTAGAATTCAGTACGCTCTGGGTTCTGGTTTGGTAGCTTTTCTTTTCACATTTCTTTGGAGGGTAATAAACAACAACAAAAAACAACATGAAATGTTTAGCTTTCGTTTATTCATGGCATGTGAACCTACACAGAATTTATTTCATTTTCACAGAAGCTAGAGATTTATTAAGTCTACATTTCTTACAGATCAATTAACCCACAGAAGGGACTGTAGAACTTCAGGCAGGCACCCCATTACTCTGTACACAACACACACCACCTTTCAACATGCATACTGTCACACACCAGCCTCACTTTCAAGAATGATCTTTCACCTCTGATCATGACCTTCCACCTCTGATCATGACCTCTCTTCCAACCAGACAGGGTCAACAGCCTGGATATCTGGAACACCAAATATTCATGATATATTGCAAAATGGAACTTCAATCTCTCACTGTCAACCTGTGGAACGATTATATACTGTACACACATGTCTTCCTTATATAGGACAAATATTATGACAGTCTATATCTATTGTTGTTTGGCAATTCACGCAGCATCTAAATCCGTACTAGTATAATTATTATCCTTTTGCCTCAGGAAAACATGGGGTTAAAAAACAACGACCCTGAATTTTTTAACATGTCGTTCAGGAATCTGTACCCAACAAGTCAAAGTACCTGATAGACCAGGTCAACAGTGCCATTTTGAATGGAATGTACTTTCTCAGGGCAATAAATATGGACAACTATAACTACATCCTGTATACCTTAAAATGGAATCAGCTTGGTCTGGTGTATCAACTAAATATAAACTATTGACGACACAGCTGGCCCCATTATCAATGCCCCTATACAACTATTTCAAATTTACAATAATAAAGGCTTCAATTATTTTGGACCATGACATATTCATATAAAGTTTGTTATTACAATAGTTTCTAAATTTTGGAAAACTCAGATTCTTTCCCCTTATTGGAAGGACACTTACACGAAATAAAAATCCTACCCAGGAAGATACCCTATGGGGTTTTTTAATTTAAAATTTGAATAACTTGAATTTGAATATTCTACATGTTTACACTTTTATTTATAAAATACCACCTGTACTATAGACTTCTAAAAAGGTTATCTCCTCCAACTACTTGATGGGCTACCTCCCCTGATTACTAAATGGGTTGTCTCCCCTGACTACTATATTGATCCCCATGCTCTGTAAACTAGCCTAGACTGTCAGTGCTCATGATGTAGGTATGTCTCATACAATGACTCACAATATACTTTCTATAAAAAAATGTAATGTAATGTAATGTAATGTAATGTGCTATTTTGATCTTCATCAACTTTGGCATGCAAACGAATATCTAGATGGAATTAAATCAGATCTTTCAATCACTGCCATACTTAAAACTCAGGACAAATCTCCTTTTCCATTCTTAGTAAAATTTAAATGATCTTATACTTATGGCAATCTAGATTGATAAGTGTTTTATTCAAGGGAGATAACTGTCTATAGCAGCAAAAAGCCTAAGTTCTAAGTATAAGAGAGACTTATTTCCCGAAGATAGAATAAAAATTATTCTCTTTATATTATGAAAGGTCTTTATTGATTTCCCCAAATTGGAACAAAAGAGAAAATATGCAGTATTTTAATTAACTGTGATAAATTATATTATGTCTACAAAGATATTACTTTTCATACATAAGGCACCAAAATAAAATTAGGTGGAGTGGAGTTTAGGCTTTATCCTGCCACTTAATGTAACAGTAATTATGTTTAAGTACTATATATATATAAACAAATGTCCACAAGTTTTTTCTGTGTTTTTTTAGTCCAAATAACAGAATTTCCTAGTCGACAATGGCAATATGTCTCAATGCAATAAAAACAGAAATATCCTCATCTCCTTAGCAAGAACATTAAAATCGGGAAACTAATTTTTGGATTATTGGCGTAAGGTTCACTGATTCCACTCACTGCTCAACTGTTCTAGTCTGTCTAGAGTGGATTAAAAAAATTAAACAGAAAGTAACAGATGACAGGTGCTGATAGAGTCACTGCTTAAAGGCACAAATTATGCATATTCCCAAATCTATAGGCCACTAGACATAATCTTCAGGCATTATATATATACATCATAGTGCAGTACTTCACAGATAAATGATCAGGCATGGAAAGGGGAAAATGTGCAAGAAAAAAAAACCAAATAATGAAGAAGAAGAAAATAACGAAAAATGAAGAAGAAAAATAGCGAAAAATGAAGAAAAAAAAATTCATACAAAATTAATAAAAAAAGAAGTGAATAAACAATATAAGATGATATACTGATAACATTGCAACTTCCAATGAAATGCAGGCTAGACTTGCTGCGACTAGCAAGAGGCCGATGAATACCCAGCAATGTCTACAGCTTGGTGTGGCCCTATACAGACATGACAGTACTACTGGTACACTGACCAGTGTGATATGTGGGACAAATGTAAACCCGTACCGATCAACATGCTCATTCTTTCTTTATCAACATATTTTTTTTAACTTATCTCAAGAATACACAACTGATTATATAATATATGCTACAAAACAATGGTAGTTTCTTGTAAAATATTTTTGTACAAATTCTTCTGCATGGTAAATCACGAAATCGATATATCAATTAATATATTTTGACTTATGAAGCACTTTTGTAGACATATCTATATTATACTTATATATATTTTGGTGCATCAGCAACAATTTTTTATTCCTCTTATCATGATTTAGCACTACAGCCATCTATAGCTATAACATGTAAGGATCAAGGAGTTCTATATTTAGTGGTCGTAATCTTTTAGCACTTTCAAATTAGCATGAAATTGCACTAAAATCTTATTACCACTTATATATAATTTTGGTTACAGTATAACATGTTGTTTATACATACAATTGTTTACTTGTATACATTGTTAACCTTTGTTTGCCTTTAGATTCTTAAGCAAATCAACTTACCCATTCTTTGTAACCCACAACTGATTGTATTTCCAATTGATCAACGGGTGATGCAATTAACTCATTCACCCCTGAAGACACATTTGAACTCTTCCAATTAAAAGGTTGGAATATTTCATTATGAAATTTCAGGGGTGAATGGGTTAAACAGGAGTTATTGACGATGTAACTATAACACCTAACACTGATAAATCAAATTTGAGATTTTTCTACAAAAGAATAAGTCAAAAAGTTCATATTATTAAGAAAATAAGAGCATGCTCTGTCTATTCATGAAAACTGCATTTCTAATTAACGACTGTACAGAAATATCAAGTGTGTAAACTACTCCTGAAAATATTAACCTTGTGCAGGATTCATGTATGCTCTAAGGAATGGCTGACCTTAACTCATTTACCCCTGAAGACACATTTGAGCTCTTCCAATTCAAAGGTTGGAATAGTTCATGATGACATTTCAGGGGTGAATGAGTTAAATTCAAATCCTCACATATTAATCATCTATAAAAATAAATTACGAATATCTACGGTGATTTCTTCTCATCCAAAAAACAAAAATTGCTTTATCAAGAAAAGTCTTTCGATAGATACAAAATAAGTATCTCTATCATACATATTAAACACATCATTTCAGATATTACAAAAGCCAAAGAACACCTATGCGTCTCTCTCGATGCATCAGCAGATAAGGTCAAGGTCCACATCCTCTCTATCAGGATACAAATCATAGCAGAAAGGAAAAAGTGCCATTTTTTTTTTTACATTTTTGTTTGTTTGAGGAGATAGAGTGATGGAATTGTAAGATGATGTTCTCAATCAACTCCTGTGTGTGGTGAAAGTTACCATGTGTTCATCACAGCGATTTATTTGCAGAAGTAAAAATGAAGCACCACATGTAGATCTATCTGCACCACATGTGGTTCCTTCCTAAAAAGGAACACCACAAGTGTCACTGTACACACAAGTCGTTACCGAGTACGACAGCAGTCAGTAGCACGGACCACCTGAAGCTTATAACACAATGGTACCGAGTATGACAGCAGAGTCAGTAACACGGACCACCTGAAGCTTATAACACAATGGTACCGAGTACGACAGCAGTGTCAGTAACACGGACCACCTGAACCTTTACAACACAATGGTACCGAGTATGACAGCAGAGTCAGTATCACGGATCACCTGAACCTTTATAACACAATGGTACAGAGTTCGACAGCAGAGTCAGTAACACGGACCACCTGAACCTTTACAACACAATGGTACCGAGTATGACAGCAGAGTCAGTATCACGGATCACCTGAACCTTTATAACACAATGGTACCGAGTATGACAGCAGAGTCAGTAACACGGACCACCTGAACCTTTACAACACAAGTCGTTACCGAGTACGACAGCAGAGTCAGTAACACGGATCACCTGAACCTTTATAACACAATGGTACAGAGTTCGACAGCAGAGTCAGTAACACGGACCCCCTGAACCTTTACAACACAATGGTACCGAGTATGACAGCAGAGTCAGTATCACGGATCCCCTGAACCTTTATAACACAATGGTACAGAGTTCGACAGCAGAGTCAGTAACACGGACCCCCTGAACCTTTACAACACAATGGTACCGAGTATGACAGCAGAGTCAGTAACACGGATCACCTGAAGCTTATAACACAATGGTACCGAATACGACAGCAGTGTCAATATCATGGATCACCTGAACCTTTACAACACAAGTCGTTACCGAGTACGACAGCAGAGTCAGTAACACGGATCACCTGAAGCTTATAACACAATGGTACTAAGTGGTACAATGTATCAGCAGTAATGTTTCACCACTAGGAATTTCTGCCACATCACATTAACTCTTCAATCATTCCGTTAAGTAAATCTTCTCTCTGTTTTTCATTTAAATACACTGACATTTCCCCAGTCATTCTTTAATATCCTTAACTCAGAAAAGCTTTAACAGTCTGGTCATTTATAGGCATCTTAAGACAGCTACTGGTGTAGGACTTGTAACTAAACTGATAGCCAATCATTGTCCGTTACAGTTATAGTCACGTTACAGATATCAGTCACGGTATTGATGACCGTAATTTCTCTGGTCACACCATTATATTCTCTGCTATCTCTTCTGTATAAAGTAATTGCACAAGTTAACAGTAGGCTTGAACAGATGAAGGTGGCTGAACATGTCTCTCCTGCCTTCCTCCTCAGACTGACCAGAGCCCTGTAGATAGGCCAACTGACCAATCCATGTAAATTATAACTCTCCAAACACAATGGCTCACCGATCTTTCTCTTCAAGTTGACCCCTGAATCACTGGTCAGTGTTCTGTATCAGCTGACCAGTGGTCTGTAAAGACAGACTGGCTGACCAATTCATGTCAACTCAATTGTACATAAAAATTGGCCCAACGGCCTTCCTTTTCAAGTTGATCATTGAAGTGCTGACCAGTGCTCTGTATTGTATGACCAGTACTAGTGCCCTGGATAGATAGGCCAACTGACCAATCCATGTCAATTACAATTGTTTATACACATTGGTCAGTTTATTGGGTTAAAGTCTTCATCAACTGACGATGACCTCGTCATTTCGACTTCTTCCTGTTTATTTTCTCCCTGTTAGAACACAATTACAAAGACATATTATGCATTGCATGTTCAGATCAGATTCCATGGGAAGAAAAATTAATTGAAACATAAATTATTTTTTTCATAATCTTCTGGACACTGGTTTCCATGAGATCTATTTTCCTGATTAAGGAAACAAGAAATGGCATTAAGGAATGAATTAGTTTCTTTATCCTACTTGAAACTAAGGAAACTGGGTATGATTTCTATTAAAACCTGCGAGTATAATATTTACTTTGAGTTAGTTTCTGCTTTGTCCTGGTCAGTATGATATTTAGTTTGTATTCACGGATACCATATCTCCTTTTAATTCGTTTTAACTATTTCACGTACGTTGTACTCGTCAGTATGATATTTACTTTGTATTCACGGATACAATACCTCCTTTTAATTCTTTTGAACTATTTTACGTACTTTGTACTCGGAACTGCACCATTACTTCCTTTAGTGGTCTTCACAGCCTCTGGAAGGACAAAGATAAACTCAAATAACATCAACATTACATTGATCAAATCTAACATAAACAATTATAAGTTCGTAATAACTTAAAACAAAATTGACAAGTTTCTGTTATAAAATGGAAACAAATTCAATACATATGTAACAGAAATGAAACAAAACTTAAATCAAACTATCTCCAAACGCTACAGACAGTGATCTGTATGGTGTCTTTCTACAGCCAGGGAGAGACTTACCGCTACTACTGACATTGCCGAAGGAGCCCCGCCTCCCGGAGTTGTTCGAGGTGGGGGCTAGGCCTGTCATCGATCCCCTACTTTGAGAAAAGAAAGCATAGCACATGAGCAAAGATCAATGAATCTTACAAACTCCTTTTGTTTCAAGAATTTTAAAAACTGAACTAAGGCATAAGGTTTAATATATATATTTTTCAAAATTGTATAAACACCTACCTCAGTATCTGAAAAATATTTGTTCATCATTTATCATAACGTAAAATGCCTTGTTTTTTTTCTCCTCAATAAAAGCATTTTCAATCAATTGTTTGTCCAATTTCAAACATTTTTCTACAAACCTTTAAGATAAAAAAAATCAGAAAAATTGCAGCAAAATGTGCATTAACATAATCAATTGCCAACACTCAATATTGTACTAGCCAATCAGTCATGGTACCCTCAATTGTCACTGCAAATTTAACTAAATAGCTGATTACCAACCTGCTAGTTCCGGCACTCCCGGGGGCCTGCAGTGCTCCTGAGCGGGCTACAGCTCCCTTGGTACCGGAGCCGATCTTGCTGCCTGACCCTGAAAGGTTAAAGGTCATACATTTATCACTCTAGCAACTAAACCCTGACCTTACTACATTAAAGGTCATACAACCATCACCTTGGCAACTAAACCTTTACCCTGCAAGGTTCAAAGGCACACAATTTCAACTACTACACTGACCTTACAAGGTTAAAGGTAAAATGTCATTACCTTGGCAACCCTATTACACAAAGAAAACTATATTATCCTTAGATCAGAGGTTGGACCAAAGTCCCAATTATACCAGATTTATTCAAACCTGGAAATCTTTCTATAATTTTGCCTGAAACAGAAATGGTATATTTTGTTACATGTATTAACAATTAGCAATCTGTGAAAACTGGAGATTCTGCAAATTCATGCTGTTCTAATTGGTGGGACTTACGTTACGCTATTAATTAATGTCCCACAAAACTTAGGAATCTTATACTCTCAACCAGAACCCAGGTATCTAATACTCTTAACAAGAACCAAGAAATATGAAATTCTAATCCCAAACCCATGATTTGATTTCCTTTTATCAATGGCAGGCAGATAATATAAAGACCCTTCATTGATTTTGGTTATCTTGGCAAAAATTAAGAATCTCAAGTCTAAATTCATCTACAATAGAAGACAAAGGAAGAAATAACTTCAAACCAAAACTTTTTGATGCAGCAGGTGCAATAATACATGTAATAGGTTTAATATGATATCTAGCTTGGGAAGCAAGCGTAATTTCTCATTGATTAAGATGATTTTCTGATGTTTCTAAATTTGTTTATAATAAATTAATTAATACAGACCAATGAAGGAATTATGCAGTTGAAATGATACACAACAAAAACTGACTTTACAGACACTCTGTCTCAGACTCAATAAAGTAGTTCTCATACATCTGTAAGCTCAAGTTAAGTTTCTATCAAAGTGTATTCAGCAATTTCAAGGTAACTGGTATGGCCTGTGTACTGGACAGACAGAGGGAAATGTTATCAACTTTGCCAGTTGGAAACTCTATAACACCCTGCAAACTAATTAATATAAGTATATTCACAACCTGGAAACTTACTATTTTTTGTCCACCCTACATGTGTTAATGTGTAACTTTTGTAAGAGTTATCTCCCTATTTTGTCAATTAGTATTTTCAAAGACTTCAAAATCATCTGAATGTTATTGATGTCAGAATTCTTGTGTACATTTGATCATCAGTAAAAGGACATTGGTCATAACATGTTTCGTAATGCAGACCTCTTTTCAAAAAGGACGTTAAAATAGCATTAAGGATATTTGTATGATGGAAGTCTTTCATTACATTACAAACATTTTTACATTTTTCGTAAATATCAAGCAAAAAGATATAAACAAATTTCATCCAGGGACAACATAAAAAAAATCAAATTTCTAAAATAGGTTTTAGGAAGCACAATTGCAAAAAAACATCATATTATAAATATTAAATAGTTTTACAGAACTGAATTTTAAGGTAAATAAGAAATTTAACTGTACCAATGGGTAATGATATGTAAATACTATACATATATGAATATTGTTAGATGGTTTACATGGAGAAGTGCATGATTTAACAGTAAATAACCTGTTAAAGGTACAAACGCATGCATGATGATAATACAGGAATATGAATCTATATTGAATTTACATTGTTATGTAAAATATAAAGATGGGTTACCCCAATTTTCAGTTACATTTCACAATCTAGATTATATGAAACCTCATGATTATTTTTCCAATTTAGATGAAGCTATGAACTGCCTAGGTATATACTGTACATGTACTTAATATCATTTAATGCACTCAAATTTTATGAAAACATTTCATGGCATTGATGATTTGGGGCTTTCACGATAAATGAAATATGTGGCAATTTAACTCATTCAGCCCTAAACATTTAAATCAGACTTGCCCAGTCTTTGATTTGGTAAGGTTCAAATGTGACTTTTGGGGTGAATGAGTTAAGGAAACATTTATTAATTAGCACTATCATAATTCAGTGCAATAGCTAATTCGCGAAAATTGCTAAAATGAGACGAAACCGCTAAACATGTTCATTTACAGAAGTAGCTGTATGGACACACAGCATTTACTGTACTTTAAATGAAATCAGAAGTGTTATCATTGTATATAAACACAATGTTATATCTGCATAAACAGTCAAAGATGATATAATGTGATGGATGTTCTACGTTAATTTCCTCTTGTGATTAAGACATCCTACCAAACACTCTTTCACCCTGTTCAACTCTTTCTCTTCAATAAAATAACTTGCCAATATTTATTAAATACATTCTTAGAAATGTAGCAACACATAATTGAAAAGTTTATAAAAAAAAGTTAAAAAAATTGAACAAGTTCACACAGTATTATGGCATTTGAAATAATCAAAAACATTTATATTTAATGCACAAATAATGGAATGGGGAAACCTCTTCATCAAATGAAAAACAAAAATATTGTTGTAGTCAAATTTAATTCTTTTTAAATAGACTGGACACATAATAAAACTCAATAGAGACTAACACGTTTGTTCATTATCACGTGCAGCATGCAGATATTCTGTGGTATAATATATATTATCTACACTCTACAAAAGGCTTTGAAAAAAACTTTGTTTCACAGGATGTCGGCAAGGTTTCAAATTATATATAAGAACAAACTAGAGCTTTAACCCTGCAACTTCAGAGTCATGACCTAGTTCAGCAGACATTGGTTTGAAATGACTTTGACATCAGAGCAAGATCTGAACAATTGGAAAATGAACACTTGTCCTTTTTGAATTGTGGTTTCATCATTTTCTTTTCTTCTGTGAAGAAATTCTTTGTTGAGATGTTGTGGACCAGAAAAAGAAATTCTACAGAACAGCTTCCACCAGAGTGTAAAGGCTCCTTGGAGACAAATACCGTACATATGATTATGAATTGTAACAAGTCATATTTAAACTTCTTTCTCATCTTGAGTCATCACAATTAGACAGTCCAGGAAAGTATAGTCAACAACTGATTATCGTCATGTTCTGTTCAAACTGGCGTATAGAAGGATAATCAGAAAAAATAAAAGTGACAAAAATTCAAAAAATAAAATAATACCTCGTCTAGTTTTATCCAACTAAATCAAAGGCACTAAATGACAAGACTAATTTTTTTATTGAAATATTCCTGCTTCAAAAACAAAACTTCTATTTATATCATCAATGAAATCATGTAGGCAAATCAAATCAAAATCAGAGCATGCTTTATTGTAGATGTATATAATGTATGATCCTGCCATGGACGGCACTAATAAAATGGCTTTAAATATGTAGAAGAAAATGGCCAGAAACATAGAAATATGAAAGACAGCTAAAAATATAGCACTGTACGAAAGAAATCATTGAAACACACAGCACATCTGACAAACCCGAAGCCAAGGGACAAGAGAGTGTATCAGGTAGTGCCACTGCAAAGTTCAACCAGCATTTGTAGAAATTGGAAAATGATAGTATAATGCCCTAAACTTTCAGTCAGCCATGCAAATATTCGGGATAAAAAGTCTACATGGTAAAATCAAGTTTACACTGTTTTTATATGCAAACTTAAGATCTTTGCAGAAGACAAAAAGCATAGCTTAATGCATCCGACAGAAAGAAAAATAAAATCTCATGATCGAGCGAGGAATTTCTGGTACCTCTGGGCTCTGGGTTGTCCCCTAATGGGCCCGGCCTCCCTGAGCCTCTCTGAGCACAAGTCCGGATTGGAGTTGTACAGTGGTAGTCTGGACAATCTGGACACCGGTGTCTTCTTCAGACCAGCGCCCCCGGAAGGTTTGGGGGCCAGAGAAGGTTTACACGCTGGACAAATGACAACAGGTCATTAACTGAGTACTTCAAAAATCTAGATCACCAGACTTCAAAACACTTCAACCACTCATCAATACAACTTCAATGGGACTGAAAACATTTATGAACATGTCCCAAGAAAAATATCATTACAGAAAATATTTGCCGAAATATTCAATTAGAAAATAAGTGCCAATTAATATATTACTTAAAACAATTCAGCAGAATCAATTTCTTGAAAAGAAAATACGACATTTCAAAATGGAACAACAGTGAAAGAACCTTCCTCGTAATTATGATCTGGTACTGAAATGGAAAGAATACTGAATTAGGAAAAAGTGAAAATGTCAATCACTGTGACAACACCCTGGTATTTCATGCCATGCAGGTAGCAACGTTACAATGCTCACTAGTACAACATCAGTGAAACAGCGATCACTAAAACTTCAGCTTAACTCTAACTGTTCTGATGCCTGATAAGCTTGGTAAACTTCATCTTTGAGTAGAAAGGGACAAAGACCACAATTCTCTGACATCAGAAAATACTGTAGGAGATTTAAAGAAATAGAACAAGAAAGAAAACAATTCTTTGTTTTCTGAAGTAGTTTAAGATTCTAAGGAAGGGTTCCACTCCAAAAGTCAGCAGTATGTTCGAGTGTAAAGTAACAAATAGTCAATCTTAAGAAAAATTGAATTCTGGAATGTCATGCATATAAGATCCTTCCAAAAACCTTTAAAATTGAACTACAAAGAAACAAGATTCACAAGACGCTCACAAAACAACAGTCTATTGTGGCAGGAGTGACTGATAATAAGAGTTATCTGCCCCTAGTAAAGTGATTTTCTAGATAGATGGCAGGTGAGGGCGATCACATGACTGTCAGTAAACTGTGACGGCTGTCAGTATTCAGTCGACATGCACTGAAACACCTGTCAAACACAATGCAGAAAACGTGAGGCAGTGAATGCGGGGAGTACGACCCCTCACCTCGACCGATTGGGGACTTGCCCCCACTGCTCTGGGAGGAATGGAGATTTGGCTGTGAGCTGTACAAGGGGAGACGACTCAGCCGAGGCAGGGCCTTGTTTGGCATAGACTTAGAGACGGTACTGTCTTTCTTCCCTGTGCAATGGAAATAAAGGTAGACGATGTAGGTACAGATTTGTAACTGTACTGTCCATTTTCTTCCTGATGTAATAGGACAAAAGGCAGCAATAACAGATGATAAGTTATTTTTACATCCTATTGAAAGATCAAGACTGAAATACATACAGTGTACACATTATACATGTAGTCAAAATCACCTAACTGTTCACTAATCCTTCTCCATTACTGAAAAAAACAGCTTCATGATGAGAACCCTGAATTCACAACTACTCTCAACATTAAATATGTATTTTTTTATGTTTTATAAAAAATATGAAATTTTGTTTTACAAACAAGATCTTGGATCGTATCTGTATATATTTTTCAAACCAAATTTTCATAATTTTTTTGTCAATTTTCCCCCTCCGAAACAGTTCATCGCTTGAGGATAATTGTGAAAATGCAGCCTTGCCTACGTCTAACAGAACATAGAAAACATTTACTATACATGAACAAGAAAAAATTGTAAAATATTTAGTTACAACAAAAACAGATATGGAAAATTGTAACTTTCCAACAAACAAAGAGCCTTCCTCACAATATGTACACATTTAACCTTTATCGTCCCAAGTGATCGTAAACATCCATGTATATCCATGCAGACAAACATGCATGAGACAAAGATCTGACCTGAGTCATAGTTAGGCTGAGGCTTGACTTTGGCTGCCGGTATTTTGCTTCTAATAGGTTTGGGTGAGTCTGGTTTTCCTATATTTTCTGAACAAAATACACAAAAATACCACAATGGTTGTGAAATTCAATAAAAACCACAAAAAAGTGAGAAATTTATACATTTTACAGAAATGTAACTGAACTGATAGACATATTATACTGTTAACAGTTTGTACAGAATATGAAATACAAAATGTCTGCAGATAGTTTATATTTGGTTTAGCAATGCTGGTGGTGTAATGATTTTTATGTTAAAAGTAAATAACATATGTGCATGTCTTTTGGTGAAATATATAAAGAGAGTGAGATAATATTGGAAAAAATAATGATTTCTCTAACATTTTTGAAGCCTTAGTCAGGCCAAAGTGTATTGTGTTATATTTAACATGGTAGAATAGATATAATCAAATCCATTAAGTTAATTAAGGAGGACAGTGTTATATTTAACATGGTAGAATAGATATAATCAAATCCATTAAGTTAATTAAGGAGGACAGTGTTATATTTAACATGGTAGAATAGATATAATCAAATCCATTAAGTTAATTAAGGAGGACAGTATTATATTTAACATGGTAGAATAGATATAATCAAATCCATTAAGTTAATTAAGGAGGACAGTGTTATATTTAACATGGTAGAATAGATATAATCAAATCCATTAAGTTAATTAAGGAGGACAGTATTATATTTAACATGGTAGAATAGATATAATCAAATCCATTATGTTAATTAAGGAGGACAGTGTTATATTTAACATGGTAGAATAGATATAATCAAATCCATTAAGTTAATTAAGGAGGACAGTGTTATATTTAACATTAATACACTCACAAATGTTGAGTATTTCTTCAGTAAATAATGTACTGCATGATTTACAAACAATTTCGACAAAAACAAAGAGCAAATGTGGATGATTTTTATGTCAGAGTAAGTAACATCTGTTTTCATAAGAATACATAGAAACAGAAGCATTATTGTATCTAAAAACAAAGACTTGAAGTATTTCTTGGAGCTTATAAGTTACAACACATGATTGTAATTAAGGCTGTATGCTACCTTATACAATTTACCTCTGATTTTTGTCAGAGTCATGATCACCTCCCTTCATTTAATCTGACGCTTCTGATTCACCAGAGTGTTATCAATCATGTAAATTCTTGTATATTTTAAAATGAATCATCAATCATTTAATCCAGTACTAAATGCGCATCAGTAAACTTTATATACAAGTTTCTCAATTAGGAACTCTTTTGGGAGGAAATGCATTGTTGAAGTAATGTAGCATACAACCTTAATATCAAGAACACCAATTATAAAAATATTTTACATAAATATATAAAAATCACTGAAACATTACTGTAAACTAGTATGAATTTTCATTAATAAAACAATATTACAATGCTTGTTTGCATAACTTTTAATTTACCATAATCATTCTAATATGTGCAGTGTGTTCACAAAATAAATTATTTTTAAGACTATGTTTTCTCATATCACTTAAATTAACAGGAGTTTAATAAAAAAAAATTTTATCAAAGATAATTGTATCTTAGATCAAATTAACAAATAGATCACAAGAACAAACAAAATGTTTGAAATGCCCCCATGCTTCTCTTTCCATGAACATACGGGATACTCTGTTATGGACAGACACACATGTAATATACACTAGGATAATAATTTGTCATTCTTAAACTAATTTTTGACAATATTGGCGGCCATGCTATATATATAATCACATGTCAATGGATTCAAGCACTGGCTGATACTGTTGGTATCCTGCATACAACATACATGCCAATGTTACTGACACACAACATCATGCTGAAGCTGACCCTCCATTCCTGAGCCGATTAAAAAACAGGATAAACAACATTCGTAGGTGACAATTGATAAAACTTAAGAGGTAAAGGATGATACAATACACTTTTAATTGTTAAACAGGAATTTCAGAAAACCAAAAAATTCAAAAAACGTTTGTACAAGCTTGGGTTTCTTAACTGCCCCAATTATCTCCAAGTTTTTTCATGGTTCCAGTGAATTCTGTAAACCAAGGTTTGACTCTGCAACATATTTCTGTTTTAAGCGTAGCCTGTACTGATCTAGATATTATCATGATCCCCATTGATTCAAGTTATTACTGGAAATATCACGTAACTCTTTCTGTACCATATGTTATATTTCAGCTGACATACTGTGTCATTTTCAAAACAACTCTGCTCAGCTACTTACATATTAGAACAAGTATATATGTAAAAATTGGTCTACGTCAACCATTTCTTTTTTAGTATATTTTATTTAACTTACTCTGTACTATATCATACATTTTATCTCGCCCCCCC